TCCTCAGTCAACAGTAGGGCTGCAGTTAATCGAATTTCGAAACGTGATTACAAAGCTGCAATTACTACCAAAAAAAAAAGTCTACTTACATTTTTCTGCATACTTAAGATGTGTGTTTTTTTTCCCACTCTGTAGGTTTATCTTAAGGGATTTTTTCCATTGTTTTAATTTTAGTTTTAGTATAACATTATAATACCATGCATATTTTAACTTTTTTTTATGTAAAGGAGAAACCAAACCAATGTATAGTTGACATTTGAGGCTTAATGCTATAGAAAAGCAATAAAAGTTTTTCAGTTAGAGTGTTTTCAGCTTATTTTCATATAAAAATATGGCATGCAGTTGCTTCAAACAATGGTGTAAAGCTATTGAAAACATCATTCAATGTAAATTGTGATAATCGTAATTAATAATCGCAATTATAATTTCAAGGGAATAATCAACAATTATGATTTTTGTCATAATCGTGCAGCCCTAGTCATCAGCTTTGATTGCTGTAGCAGCACTGAGATAATCAGGCCCTGAAGTGGCCATTTTCAAAATTACATTTTTGACGCAGAAACAAAAACTGATTTGTAACATATTACAAAATCTGTTCACATAGGTCAACTATTTTTCATAGATCAGTGAAAACAAGCCAAGGTATTACATAAATGTGACCCTGGACCACAAGCCCAGTCATAAGGGTCAATTTTTTTAAATTGAGATTTATACATCATCTGAAAGCTGAATAAATAAGCTTTCCATTGATGTATGGTTTGTTAGGATATAACAATATTCGGCTGAGATACAACTATTTGAAAATCTGGAATCTGAGGGTGCAAAAAAATCTAAATATTGAGAAAATCATCTTTAAAGTTGTCCAAATGAAGTTCTTAGCAATGCATTTTACTAATGATAATACATTTTTGATATATTTACGGTAAGAAGTTTAGAAAAAATCTTAATGGAACATGATCTTTACTTAATATCCTAATGATTTTTGGCATTAAAAAAAAAATCGATAATTTTGATCCATACAATGTAATTTTGGCTATTGCTACAAATTTACCCGTGCTACTTATGACTTTTGAATCTTTTTTTTTCTTCTCCCAGGCGATTTATGCGAGCGTGTTGCCGGGGGAACTGATGCGGGGTTATATGAGTCAGTTTCCGACCTTTCCCAGCTGGTTGGGCAAGTTCTCATCAGCTGGCAAACACAGCCGCATCATACAGGAGCTCGCTTCGCACATGAGCCTAAAGTGAGAAACGCACATAAACACTTTGTTCTCACACTCCCTTCCTCCATGTCTGACGTATGAAGTCTTTCAACCACATTTATGCTTCCCTAAAATCTTTCCTCTTTCTCACCCTGCAGGACGTTAAGCAGTAAGGAAGCAATAAATCTGGATTACCTGCCGTATTTGCGCTCAGCAGTATTAGAGCCTCTTCAGTCGCAGGGTTCAGAGGGAGCCAATCAGAGCGTGCAGCTCATGGATGATTATGACCTTATCAAAGAGGATGTTGATAACATGATGGAGATCAGCACGTGGGGCGGACAGCCGGATCCTTACTCTAAACTGGACTCCAAGGTGTGTGTGTGTGAAGAAACCGGTGGTCCGGTTGACAGTTCATTGCTTTGACAGATGCCTGCTCAGTCTCAGTTAATTGTGTTTTAACTGTAAAACATCTGGAGGTGCTGTAGGCCACACTTTATCCCCATCAGCTGTTTTTTCCTTTCTGCAGGTGAAAGCTGCGTTTACAAGAGCCTACAATAAGGAATCCCATCTTACGCCGTACTCTTTACAAGTGGTTAAGAAAAGCCGTACAGGTGCTGTTGACCCTGAGCTTATAGGAGAGCTTGACGGTGAATCTCAGTTTCAGGAAGAGGAAGAAGACAATGGGGTTACTGCAGATGCAATGATAAAGGTAGATATCAAAAGAGCAATTCAGCGGCTCTCGTTTCGACTGTCCGTGTTTTACAATCATGTTGACCTCAATAACATCTCATTTGCAAGGGCAAGTTCACCTAGAAATGCAAATTCTGTCATCAGTTACTCACCTACATGTTGTTTTAAACACATAATACTTTTCATCGTCGAAACACAAATGAAGATACATTTAACCTTCTGGTGGTGTTTGGTCTTTTTTTAACTGGGAAATTGTAAGTTTTTTTTTACTTCATGAGAATGGTACGAAACTTGGAAAAGGTTTTTGGCACAATAAAAAAAAAAAAAATCACAGACATGATTAGAAAAGGTTAAACAGTCCTGAGAAATATAGTCATACTTGTATTGTTGGAAAAGTATAGGAAGCGAGTTTCATCTAGTGGAGACGTTTGGTACTGCGCCCAAACAAAATCTTACTCAAAGCTCATTTTTTGAGATATCAACCTCAAATTTGGAAAACAACTTGTTTAGATTTATGGCTTTGATTTTCTTGCAGTTTTAGAGTAAACATGTTTTGGAAAATATAGATTTCATATCAAATTTTAAAGTATTTTTGTGCATTTTTCATAAAAAAATAAGCTTCTATAACTTTAAGCTTCACTTTTTTATTTTTTAACTTCAGTAATAATCTGCCAAGTTTCTTCTTTAAAAAGAGGCCAAAAGTCTGTGCTCCAGAGCATTCTAGATTTACGACAGTTTAAGTTGGACATTTTATTTTTAGGTCTATGCTTAAAAAGTGGTTAACGGGTAATGAATGGATCATGACTATTCCATAAATATAATTTAGTACCATAAAACCCCTAAAGATACAAATTATTAAATTTAAAAAATTGTCAAACGTAAAATATAGTACGTTAATTTTAATGAAATAAAAAGGTCATTTTTGACCACTACACAAACAACACCAGAGGGTTAATGAAACTTAAGAGATTTCTGTCCCTCCATCAAAAGTCAAAATGTTAAATAAATAGTTCACCCAAACCTGTGGTTTCCTTTTTTTTTTTTTTTTAATAATTACGTTTTTCCATACAGTTGTAAAGAATGGAGACTCCAGCTTTTAGCCACATAGGCCAAAGTTCAATAAAAGTTGTTCAAATGCCTCATTCTCTATATTGCAAATCTTCTGAAGCCACTGTGACCGGTTCACCAAGTCAGTGAGTTGAGAAACTTGAGAAACAGATCGGTTTCTTAAAGACATGGCTTCAAAAGAGTCATAATGGCTACTTTTATAATTTTGCATTATTTTTGAAGCTTGAAATCTTCAGTCCCTGTTTTTAATTGAAAAAGTGAAAGCTTGGAACAACATGAGGTGGAGTAAATGACAACCTTTTTTTATTTTGGGGTGAACTATCCCTTTAAACACTTATAGTTTTGCTGCAAACAGTAAAGTTTGTATTAGAATCTAAACCCACTGAATTCATACGGCCATCATTTTAAATCTACACGTTATTTGTGACATGCACGCTTGTTTATTAAATATTTTGGCCAATTTGATTATACTGTTGCATGTATGAATTCATTTCTGCAGAATTCCATATTTTGCCCCTAAATCAGCATAGAAAGTGCAGATACGGTCTGCACATTCAATTAGGTCCTACATATAGGCAGGATTTCATAAAAAATCATTCACAGTGCTACACCATTATTCACCTGATTTCTGTTTTTTCATTCTCACAGCAGAAGAAAGCCAAACCAGCAAAAGACGTCAAGCAAGAGAAACCAGGGGCTTCTGGGAAGGGGAAAGGCAGGGGTAAAGGAAAGGGAAAGGCAGTGAACTGAGATAAACATAGAAGGGAACGAGACAGAAATCCCTCCTCTCTCTCTCTCTCTGTTTTCACAAAGATGAATGACATCAGCTCTATAAACAGAACTTTTTTGTCTGCAAGTCATACTTGTGCACTTCCTGAAAGCCATCACTCAGCTTAAGCTGCTTTCAGCAGAGCGGACACCGCAGGGACCAGCAGCTGGGGGTGGACCACACATTTACACACAAGCTATTATATAGTTCACAATTCATCAAGCGGATCAGACTTAACACATGCATCATACTGTTAACATGGTGTTAAAGCTATATTCATCTCAAAGGTAAACAGAATTAAGGGCACTTAATGTGAAGAGGCTCACTGTACTCGTGACAAAGTACATGAGCATTTTAATATATTGGCTTCAGTTGTTCACAGTTAAACACACATACACACTCTGGATGACAACTGTACTTGCTGCATGTCAGCTAGCGACCACACGTGATGTAAATATGCGTCTGCCACATTAGCTTTTTTCACTTTGTTACTTTGAATACTTGCAGAAAAATATATATATATAAATAATCCCTTTCTTAGTGTTTTCTACGGCAGTACTTTTGGATACAGAGTAATAGTGTCTGATATTAGCCTGAAGATTATTCTGTAAATGACTAAATGTGTGCGATTTGAAAATTAAAATGAGAATTATGTCATAGAGATGTATTGTGTTTGCTTCTTATAATTCCCTCCATAGCTCATTCTGCTTGATGATGCAGATCAGAAGAATTGATCAGATGGTGGCGAACCAGAATGGTAAAAACAGCTAAATTATACTGTAATTGCTGTTATATATAAGGGTAAACAACTCACTACATAGCTAGGTTTTTTAAAAAGTTTTCATAATTGCAGTATTGCACTTTTAGCACTTAATTTGTAGTCTAACGTGAAGAATTTAATAGAGTTATTTACTGCAATGAAATAATTTATTTTGTATACGGGTACATTTACAGTAGAAAAAGAAAAATCTATGAGCTGATGAATATTGATTGTCATTCTAATAGACGCATGTAATGCCTCACAACATATACAGACATAATAATTAATACAGATATAATTGGGTTAGTCAGAAAATGCTCCTACATGTTAGTCTTGCTTTTTGCACGATTTATGACAACCTAAATGTGTAACTGAACCACACTTATAAATAATTATGCATAATTTGAGCTCTCAGTAGTAGCTAATATATATAAATTCAATAAAATCAATATTGTGGGGAAAAATAAGAAAGTGTTTTCGAGTTATATTTAGATTTAATTGAATATATTAATATTAATAATTATAATTTAAATAACTTGAAGTCATCCTGCAGTCCCTTTGGTTGAGAACCACTGGTTTAGCACTAGTCTCTATTGGCGTCTCCCACTTTTACACATTACTTTTGCAATTAGAAAAGAGTACATTTTGGGAGTTTTTTTTTTTTGCTTTTTGATAAATACAGCTTGTAGAATCTCCATCTGTGTCTGACAATCTGCTCCTTGAGGTCTATGCAAACCATCTGGACAGGACTGTGACATTATCAGCATGTTGGTGGTGTTTTTGAGAGTACGTGTAGAGTGACCGTCCCGCTGGTTTGTCTAAGGAGCTCGACAGCTTCAGAATGAGTGACACCCTGCAGACTCTGTCCGTTTACTTTCAGCAGCTGATCACCGTGACGCAGACGCCTGTCCTCCACCGCAGCTCCCTGTGGGAACAGAGCACTGTCACATACACAAACAGCGTTGCTTTCTCAGTCAGATCATTGCATGTCAGGGTGTGTTCATGCTACGATTCATGCAAACTGAATGAGTGTTTGGACACGTATTGATCTCTGTGGTGCACTGCAGTCAAGAGAGTTACTCAACTCACAGTTTTTAGCTTCAGCATCTTTCTTGTGTACCTTGGGAAATATGCTCTTGACATAGATTGGCAAGTCACCATGGGAACTGCCAAATCCTCCTATAATACTGAAGCCAAGCCCAGCAGCGCCACGTTCAAGAGTGATAGTCTGGAACTGAGGAGAACTTAAACACAAAAGACAAATAGAATTTAACCCTTTTTTCCCCTCACAGAGACGCCCTATTGGCAAACAGGGCAACGAGTAATCTCTTAATACAGTTAGAAAAATGAAAAAAGCAAGCATAACACTTCTATTGAACAGGGAGTCTGAAAGGTCTGTGTGCCTTGGAGAAGTCCTTTATCAGAGCTCTAGCGTGTAGAATTCTGCTGACTCTTAACGCCTCTACAGAACTGCATACGCAAACTTGCTCTGACATATCCATAAGCAGATGTTAAAAATGTGCACTTTTAATATATTTCATGGACTCATTGAAAGCAACGTTGTATGGAAGCCTGTTTCCAACACTGAATAAAAAATAAAAAAGGTAATTATTATTATCTCACAATTTTGACTTTTTCTCGCAATTACAAGTTTACATTTCGCAGTTCTTACTTTTTTCAGAAGTGTGAGATGTAAACTCACAAATGCAAGTTATAAAGTCAGAACTGTGTGATATAAAGTTGCAATTGCGTGTTATAAAGTCTTTAAAGGTATAAACTCAATTCTGACTTTTTTTCTTCAGAATTGCAATTGCGAGTTATAAAGTCAGAATTGTGAGATGCAATAAACAATAAACTTGCAATTGTAAGAAAATAAAGTATTTTATTCCTTAGAATTTGACTTTATAACTCGCAATTGTGAGTTTGGTAACACTTTAGAGAATGGAACACATTCACTATTAACAGAGTTTTCCCTCAATAAACTGCTAATTAGCTGCTTATTAATAGTTAGTAAGGTAGTTGTTAAGTTTAGGTATTGGGTGGGTTAAGGGATCTAGAACATGGTCATGCAGAATATGTGCTTTATAAGTACTAATAAACAGCCAATATGCTAGTCATATGCATGCTAATAAGCAACTAGTTAATGGTGAGAATTGGACCTTAAAATAAAGTGTTACCGCA